ATTCCGTCAAATCCTAGAACACGGCCACCTTAACCAGAAGCCTACCATCGTTGCATTCCCAGACATCCGTGGTGCATTCGACTCAGTTGATCGACCTACGCTATGGCGTTGTTTGCTATAGAACGGGGTTTTAGAAAAGTACACTGCCATCCTACGTCCACTCTACCTCCGCATCTCCGGCAGAGTGAGGGGGTCTATGGCAAGCTTTCGTCATCCTTCGCTGTCAATAGCGGCATGCGACAAGGCTGTCCTGTGTCCCCGCTTTTCTTCAATTTTGCGATTGAGGACGTCTTGTCGAGAGCCCTAGACACTTACCAAAATTCTGGTCTACAGCTACTACCGGGTAAGCAAGCGACCGAGTTAGGTTATGCCGATGATATCGCCCTACTTTGTGACGACTCACAAAGCATACAAACTATTCTACACCGTTTCGTGATTGAGGCGTCTAGGTACGGAATGTACTTTGCCCCGTCAAAGGATAGAGTGCTGCTTCATGATAGGCACTCACCCGTCCCCGTGCTCACTATTGATGGTGCACAACTTGAACAAGTGGATAGCTTTGTCTACCTAGGCAGTTGTGTGTCTGCTGGTGATACCATTGGAAGGGAAGTTTCTATTCGCATCGCCAGAGCTCGGTCGGCGTTTGTCAACCTGCAGCACTTGTGGCGTCGTCGGGATGTCTGCCACTTGGTAAATGATCGGGTTTCAAATGTCACTGGTCGTACGGTCATGGCCAGTTCGCGCAGACGACATGCGCCGGCTCTTGGCCTTCGATAATGGGTGCTTGAGGAGGATTGCTCGTGTGTGGTGGCAACAACACATTTGCAACAGTGAAGTCAGACGTCGTGTCTAAGGGAATGCGAGTATTCCCTTCAACAAGCTGATTTTGCTGCACCAGATAGGATGGCTCGGTCCCGTACTGCACATGTCAGCTGAGCGTTTGCCCCATGGAGCCATTTTCGCTCGTGCAGGACTTCCCTGGTGGCGGTCGGCCGTCCACCTGGCGGCAGCATATGAAATCGTGGACTTCACGTCTTTCTACCGTTGGATCCACATGTCTGGTTGGGTACCAAAGGACGATAAGTGCCGATGGCTGGAAATAATTCAGGATATGGCGCGCAATCGAAATCAGTGGAGGATCTGTGTACAGAATTGTTTAGATTTGCATACTTAAGGCTTAACGATTAAAATCGACAAAAAATTAAAAAATGGCGTGTGCAAATAACAAAAAAATGCTCTGTTGTTTTATATTGCGGCACAATAACTGAAGTGTTGCTCACCTTCAGTTAATGTGCCATGATGCTAATATGGTGTTCAACCTGTCTTCTTTTAGTGATTTCCATGGTTATGTTTGGCTCTGTCTATTTGATAGACTGCTGAGTGTACTACTGCTACTACTACTACCTACTACTACTATTACTACTACTACTATCTATTAAACGCTTTTGGGCGGCAAAACGAAACCTTTCCTTTCTCCTAACCGACTATCATCTTCATAGTTCGATTCTATCTTCTGCACTTTTCATCGTCAGTGGTATTATCCTTTTCTTCAAAGGACTTTTCTTACTCTTTACCTTCGATTTTTCTTCCTATTTCTTGTTTACTTCACTTAAGCAAACTGATTGCTTACTACGCCCTGACGAAGTTACCTCGACTGCTGATGAAACGTCTGCAGCAAAATTGCTCAGTTCGGAGAACAGAGCTAAATCTGAACAGAGAACCCGAACTACTGGTATTCCGCTTTATTGTTAATCACTATAGTAATCCACCGTGAGTACGTAATCATTCTCGTTGTCATTAAAGGAATCCACCGCCACGTTCAGCCACGGTCGACCAGGAACATCAAAGAGCATCATTGGTTCCCTGATTTGACCCGTCTTTCCTGGTCAAAAGATCAATGCTCTTGCTCGGTTAATGGTATAGTTGGCACCCAGGTGAATGCAGTGGACGTATTTCTATATTTCTCATCGGAGCGATGACGGGATCGGAATACGGCTTCCCTTGAATAGCAAACCATCAGAGACAGAGAGTTCATCCCGAAAATTGAAATAAGGCGTTAGTGCTTTCGGCAGCTACTTCTTGGTCTCTAGCCACCCATTCAAAATAACGTCTCGCAAAGCTGAAAACGTTGCATCTTCATCTGTGTGCCGCTTTATTTCATTTAGACGATCTTCCGTCACTACCAGATGCTGTACTAGGTTTACTGCTCCGACCTCTTCCGGATTGTGATCGGATACCGGCAGATAAGCTCGTGACAGCGTATTCGAGAGGAACATATGTGCAATAGGCATGTACATAATAACCACGTCGTACTTTTGAAGCCGGAGGAGCATATGCTGAGGACAACGAGGAGCGACGTGCAGTGGTCTACTGGCTATCGATACAAGCGGTTTGTGGTCGTCGGTATACACAGTTGCCTTTCTTCAGAAAGCATAATTGTTGAAACACTCCATGGAATAGACTACTGTGAGCATCTCCTTTGCGATCTGCGCATAGTGCTGCTCGGTCACGGTAAATGATCGACTGCGGAAATCCAAAAGTTTTCCATTCTGTAAGAGAACAACACCTATTCCGTCCTGGCTACTGTCACACTGTACCTCCAGAGGCTGCGCTGGATCGTAATACCCGAGTACAGGCGCGTCGTTGACAAGGTACTTAATAGTTGAAAACGCAGTTCCCTGTTCCTTTCCCCAACTCCAGTTTACTCCTTTGTGTGTTAGCTTCCTGATCGGCGTCATGATATCAGCGAGGCTAGGCATACAACGGCGCAAATACTTAACCATACCGTTTAAACGATGGATTCGTTAGGGGGCGGCATTTCTCGTAATGCCTTAATTTTCTCTGAATCGACCCTGATTTCTTCGGTTGTTAGCACATACCCCTGGATAATCACCATATCGCTCCGAAATTCAATTTCCACACGTTTAAGCTTGATGTTCATTTGCACACAACGCTGTAAGAAGCAGTGGAGATTAGCGTCATGCTCTTCTTCCATCGAGCCGTAGAGCAAAACGTCTGCCACGCATTTTACACCATACAAACCGTTTGCTGCCCGCACCAATCCCTTTTATAACGGACTGCAAGTCAATCCGGAACGCACACTTGACTTCAGATCATGCGCTCATGTGTGCTAAGGTCGTTCTGCGCTCTGAAAGCACTCAAAAGGATTGCCGCTTGACACAGACAAGCTCGCCGCCCCATATGTTTTCAGCGCATTCCCGAACACAGTAGACTCTAACTAGCGTCCTCTATTCTCCGACGTCGAGACACGGGGCACAGATTCAGTGCCTTAGAAAAGTCCGCTACCTTGATCAGTGGCCTCACTAGACGGGTTGCTAGTCATTGGTTCTTTGCAGTCTCTCCAATTAATGGAAATTTGTCGAGCAATTCCCGTCGGAGTTGAGTACAACGCATTACACAGAACGAATCGAATCCGTTACGCTGGTCTCCCTTTGGCAGTCTGGCTCGCTCGGTTGATCTATCCGTTCACTCTGGTATGACACTCCCATCACAGTTTGGGTATGGTGGTCTGACTGCGATGGACCAAAAAACATTGAAAATCCCCTACTGTTCTTAACAATATAGAAAAGACAAAACCAAATAATACAAAGGGACTGCTAAAAATCCCGCTCGTAGAAGCCTTTCAAGTCTAGTTCCATGCCATTAACCTCAGCGCAAGCCCGGACCTAACCAGCTCGAAGCTTATTGACCAAAAGCAGGCCATTGAGAACGCGTTCTTTTGGAATCTACTCATGACAGTACTGTTGGTTTGAGCCAATACTTTCATCTAGTCTTCATGGACGATTGTGCATTACTCGTCTGATTTAAGTTGTGAGTTCCAATTGTCTCGTCCGCTTTCATGAATCCACTGTAGTCATGGTCCCACTGATCAGCACCGGAACCAAACAACTTGGAATGCCCGTGAATTGATGGAGAACAACGGAGAAAGCCCCGGAGAAAGACACTCACATAAACGCTCGTATTGCATTCCAGCATAAACCCCAACCATCGACAACACTGCATACGTATCGTGTAACATATGAGCACGATCCGTCTCTTTGTAGGCAAGGTTTCTCGATAGCACAAAAATATGCACCCTCAATTCGATTCAATCCAATACTAAACTTAACAATCAGAGCTATTTTGTCTGGGAAGAACGCTGTGTTTCAGGACTCAACCGAAGGTTTCGTCTTCCGATTTAGGAAGCAGCTTGGCCGCGATTTGAGTAGCTGTACCGAGAACGCGTGTTGTCCGCGGAAACATTTCAGGGAAGCATGTTACAGGAATCAACTCCAAGCCATCAAGCGTACGAAACCACCCGATCGTCACTTCTGGTGACACAGTTTGTAGCAGATATGCATACCGCCGACACGGACTTCAAAATAAGATCCATCGTATGGGAGTCTAGAGATTAAAATAACAGTAGTATGTGGCTCAGTTTTCTCAGAGTCGTAAATAGGCTGATGCCAGAGGCGGTTACTCGCTTGATATTTCCAAGAGACACGAGTCCGTTTCAAAAAGGGAAAACAACCTTAAGTATCTGAGAAGCCAAATGTTAGTCTAGCGACGTAGATCATGAAATCCATTCATTACTTCGTTGTGCGTATCAGATTATGAATTCTAACGCGAAAATAGAAACCATTTAAACAGTTAAAGCTAGGCTTGCCAAAGCGTCGGCCGGTGGCCGAGTGGTCTGCACGTTTGCTTTGCAACCATAAGGTCACCGGTTTGACTCCGGGTAGGGGTGGGCGTCTTCGCGGTATACTTAGCCCGCGCGCGACTGGTGGTGGTCGCGCGGCAGCGAAGCGCCGCTATGGCGTACAGCTGACACATTATTATATCAAACGCTAGTGTGGAAGTGTGGTCCTCTCAAGTTACATATGCATAACTGTTAGTCTCTGAATCTCTAGACTACACCACTCGTGTGGCAGATTCTAAAGCGCCCACACGAAAACAGAGTCCAGAAAAGACAGCAGTACTGTAACCAAACTAAGGCTTACTATACGGACTCTGGGCTCCGACCAGAGTGCTCCAGTAAGGTGGAGATCTGACCAGTCGTGGGATCAATGACAGCATCACCAGCAGCCAACAAATTGTGCACACTGACAGACCCGGGCCAGTTTGATAAAGCATTCAACATCGGTGGAGGAAGGGCAATATTGGGGAACAATCCTGCGCTCCCGGTCGTCCCAGCATTCGTCAGCAGTTGGGAAGCACCGCTTGCGCCGAGTGCCGCAAATCCCGGGGGTGGCATGGCGAAAGACCCGGAGCTGTCTGCTTGGGTTGTGCCGGGGGCGTATCCTGGAGGCGGCTGTGTAAATGTGGATAAAAGGTTGGCCGAGTTATTTGCGACGCCGTTGAGGAGTAACGCAGCCGTATCCGATGCTGGTTTTTGGTTCACCATTCCGACAGTGATAGTACGAGCGGCATTGGAAGCATTACTCAGTCCAATGACGTTGATGTTGGTCTGTTTGAAGTTATCGTAAGAGCGAATCCCGGTGTTGGCGGTGCCTAATCGCATTCGCTGCAACAAGCCAGCCCCTCCGGCAGTTAAAACAGGTTTAATGGTTGCATTTGCATATTCTTGCCGGAGAATCTTTTGCTTTTCACAGTACTGTATCCAAGTTTCTTCCGTGAAGCCATAGTTAAAGTAATCTGTTATATCGGCTCCAGGACGCTTCCAGGGCTTATCCTCCTCACCAAGCGAGGACAGATTGAATTCGATGGTTGGAACGCCATGAATGTCACCAGGATCGTCCAATTCGATTCCCTGACGAGAAGGTTTAGTGTCTGAAAGTAAAAAGAACATTCAGTGAGACTAAAAAACTAGGGACATCATAAAGTGGTTGATGGAGGTCAGATAGGTGACAAATCGAACAAATGATGCCCTCTACTGCTTCTTTAGATAGGAATTTAGTTCGAGGGCTCCAGCTTGCAACCTCTAAGTCAAAAATATGACCCACAAAGGCGGGGAATAAGTGGTTTGTTTGGGGAATCTCGTGAGACGGTCGGCGGTGAATCCAACTACTTTAATAATACAAGAGGAATGAACAAGAGCTTGATGAATCACCCGAGCTGACGTAGGAAGTTAATGTCACATACCACTTCATAAGACATTAGACGAGCTCGCTGTTTTAACGAAACAAAGCTCCTGCATCCGACGGCCTTCCCCAATCTTTACTGAAGGGTGGAGGTGACTCATGGCAAACTGGACCTCCTCCTCAGTTTAACACTGGCGACTGTCAACAATCGTGCCCATCTTCAAGAATGGTCCGCGAACTTTGTGCGAGAATCATCGCTGAGCTTCTCACCAGCATCATTCTCCGATGACTTACTGATTCCCGTGAGAACCGAATCATTGAAAGCCAGGCTAGTTTCCCTCCTGGTCGTGGTTGTATCGACCATATATTTACTCTTCGCCGTTTTACACCAGATACACATCTAAAGATGACTGACTATGATGATTTTCATTAACTTGAAAACAACCTTCAACTCTGTTGACCGCACCAGCTTGTGGCCCTGTTCATCTATGAAGGGCGTGCCACAGAGACCCCTTTTATTCTGAAGTCCTGCTACCGTGACTCCGAAGGCAGTGTAAGGGTCTACGGGAAACTCTCTCCTATGTTCCCTAGGAAAAATGGTTCGACAGGGTTGTTCTACAACCATATACCTCTTCAACTTTGTGGTAAAATGGCCATCAAGGACGCGGTTATTTCAGACTACCGGTGTGGAAGTTGAACCCGGTGATCCACTAACAAATCCGGAATATGCGATCGACATAGATCTCCTTAGGTCTGATGTAGTGGCTATGCTAAGATTACTAGATCAAGTGACTGGTAGTGTTACACACATCGGCATGTACTTAGCACCTTCAAAGTGTAAAGTAGTGTTGTAAGACTGGACCGACATACCTCCAATACTGGTTGTCACCGAACAGCTACTGGAATTGATAGGTCGGTTCACTTGGTTATGCTGACGCCTGACATCTCCATGAATGAAGGCCCCGGGATGGTCTACAACAGTGGTTGGACGCTCTAATGGACATGATGTAGTCGCGCAGACAGTTGTTCCTTCATTCGGTTTATTGCATCTAGACCTCAATTTTCATTGCATCCTGTTTAGTTTAACGTAGCTACTTCGTGAGCCTATCTTTACATACAATTTGCATTCAATCTCATTCGCTAGCCTCTATTGTTTACTGTTATTCTTGCGGTGTGAGTCATGGCAACTGAATTCCCTGCACTTCAGTGCCCGGATCATAGTTGTTCAACCGAACTGAACTGAACAAATAGAACAAGCAAGGACTCGAAGTGAGGGAACAAATGCATAAGCATCACTGACCAAATGACCGCGCCAAATCTGATACGACGAACGAGTAATAAGGTGACCGGTCCCGAAGAATCTGTAGGGGAAACCAACAAGAGCCAACCCGATTCAACTTGTTGGTGACTTTCTACATGTTCTTCCACTTCACTAACTGAGCATCTGGGGGCGTTTCCGCCACCGGCTAGGTGTAGTGTTGGCGAACAACACACGATGTTGAAGCAGGAGACTCGTAGGCGCATGTAAAGCACGTGGCCAAATCAAGTAAGGAGATTCGAGTATACCAAATAAGCAAATAAGGCACCAAAAGGTTTAACGCGGCAATAACAAACAACGACAACAACAACATAAGTACGCCAGCCATTTGAACGGATGATTCACAGTTATACAACCATGGTGAGCTATGGAACAAATAATAATAAAAAGATAGAAGGGAACCTGCCTGAATAACTTAATGCCCTAAGCAAACATTCAGGGTCAAGGCGCCTACACCTTATGTAGACAACATATCGTCACAAACAGCTGACTATCATGCAAAGATAAGGCGGCATATCAGTCAGACAACTTCCTTGCGGATTTCACTAACCCGCCTCATAATCAGCCATTACCCTGCAGATAACTCAGCAAGAAAAGCACTTTAAACAGGCAATCCGACTAGGAGACGGCAGCAGACGTGCCACTGGTGTCGGCTGCGAGTCATGTCCTGTAGTCTCGAGCCAAGCACAAGAAGAGTCACGCGGAATCTAGCCCGGAAGACGAGACGGACCAACGGCACCCAATTTGGCCCTCAGGAACTTCATTTTCTGCTGCCAAGTCAACTTCTGTCCACCTCCAGCCTTGCGCCACTTTACACCTGACAGACTAAACAAGACCGTCCTAGGTAACCGGTGACCAGGCATACGTAACAAGTGCCAAAGCCAACGCAACTTATTTAGTGCAATCTGTTGTTCTAGAGAATTAGAATGATTACCACTAGCTAGTATTCACCTACGCATATCATCGTTGCGGACACGCTGTGATCGCGTCTAGGTTTACCACCAAATATCTGTCAAGTGCATATTTCAGCAAACAAATAAAAGGTACATGCAACGAAGAATGAGACAAAGCATGAATAGTTAGATGTGTGTCACACCGGGCACACACTCAGATTTTACTCTTTATTTGCGGTTGGGACATCGCTAGCACCCAAATGTTTCCAGTGATACTTGATCAACTTACAATTTGCGGAGTGCAAGAACACATGAGAAACAACAACAAAAAGGGAAAAACAAGAAGTCAGTAGAAGGGTTATATGGATGTATGCAGGGTGAATTTTGGTGGTGCACCCGTTTGGTTCTGTCATGATATCTACAATACATTGAGAGTATCACTTTTTATAATATCAACAAAGGACACAGAAAGGCCAGGAAAATAGAAGTGACCCGAAAGGGAAACCTTTCATGAATCCTGCATACTAAATAATGTAATGTGGAAGTAAGTAAAATGTTCTATCTGTACATCTCCGTTGAAATAGGAGTAGAAGCCTTAGGAAGAAAGTTAAACGCCTGTTACATGTCAATGCTCTAAGCATTTTCAGGTTCTATCGTAATATCGTAAAAAGTGTACGACACAGTAAGTCGAGGATCACAAATGTAAAGCATCACTGTCGTTCTCTGAAGCTAACAGTGCATAGACTTAAATTCACTGATGCTTTAAACTGCTGAGCTGAGTTCGGATCCACAATGTGGTTGGCAGACTGTTCATATATTTGTAGTGGCGTAGAAGGTAACGATCACGCGGAACACTGGAAAATCACTAGAAAGAGCGTGGACCGAAACGGGCGCGGACAACATGTACGAAACCAGGTGGCGCAACGCAAGCCCCACAATACGAGTGGAGAGCGGATAGCGAGCAACACACGGGAACGGACCTGAGCCAAGAAGCATAGAAAAAAGATGTGTCGAAAGGCCAATAAATCAGACGGAAATGTCTTTGTCGGTGCATCCAAGAGTAACCCTAAGCCGGAAAAAGCAACCGAGATCAAGCAAACCAAGAGCCTCGGAACAACTCCAAGCAGATCAGAATGCGAACTATAGAAGCAAACATACGAGGTCAGGCAGGCAGCTAAGGATCCGAAAGTTGCGGACAAACGACGCACGAATGTGACATGTGATTCCCCATTTACGTTGCGTTGTGGGACGGAAACATGGCCGATATATGCGAGTGTGCGTACAGCTTGTTGAACCGTGATCGCATGCAAATAGACTGTGCTTTCTTGCCGCTTCGTTCTTGCTATGCATTGATCACTATCCGTCCAAAGCGAAATTAGTGGGCAACTTGCTTCAGATCCGGGATCACAAACCTATACTGGTGTCCGGATGTGCTGCAGCGTTGGCAAGTAGAGCAGCGAACTCGGCATTGGAAAAGCACCGAGATGTAGAACACGATAGGTCATTACGAGATCGACTCGTACTCTACGACAGGAGAATATATACAGCTCGAGTTTATCGCACGGGTCTTCATATGACACACCCCGTAAGTAGAGGGGATAAGCGTGGTTGCAACGCGTTAGGCCCATTCGATCTTCCACACCTCGCCTCGCGTGATCGGAGGATCGTACCCAAGCATTGCAACTGATGAAGGAAAAGAAGTGTGGCAACTTCTTTATATTATATACAGAAGCTATGTTTGAGTATTCAAAGCATACCCACTTCGCCGCAGTGTAGCCTGTTCTTGTTCTCTACGGATTTCAAATCACAGCGTGAGAATACGCCTAGCGTCTTCACAGGAGTGAGATGTAGCGGTTGGAAGTCCAGAATAAATGTTCGGCCGTCACTTCTCTTCCTTAAGTTATTACATACTGACTTGGCTGGGTTGACCGGAAGAGATTCTTGAGGATCACACAGAAAGGCGGTTGAGATCTTGTTGAAGTAAGCCACAATCGTCGTGGGTACTAACTACCCTCTACATGTTCAGGTCATCAGCAAACAGGGAATACGGAGATCAGAGAAGTCAAGGTGGATTTTGGATGTAGATCAGGAGCGAAGACCAAGAAAAGTAACAATCGTCTAACATCCTGCAACCTGCGCTGATGGTGCGATTGCGACAGTGCACTCCACTCGTCCGTTCATTGGTAAGGAATGTCCACCTGGAGGATGCTTTCCGCACACCGCTTCATAAGACGTTTGCAAGACACAGCACAGGGTAACAAGCGTCAAGGTACTCGCATATAAGCATCGTAACACGCAGGGGAGCTCTAAATATCCAGAAGAGGCAGATCAGGATTCATGGGACCCGGCACATAGCCTAAAGGTAGCGAGGTTGTCTTGCAATGTGATGGCGCAGGTTCGAACCTGAACAGGCGCAAGGTTACCCTCACGGAATGATTAGCTCACGTGCAACTGTTGGTGGTTGCGCTTCAGTAAAGCGTCGGTAGTGCGTGCCATTGCAAGTGCCACAGGGTAGAAACGGATTAGTAAACATGTGCTTGCGTCCCGAGATGACCAG